TTTTGCACCTTCTGATGTTAGACGCTTTCCCCTGCTCTCTCGTTTCAGTGCAGTATCACCTCTGAAGCTCCACGGCTTTTCTATTTCCTATCCCTTTCCCTCCTCTTTCTCCTCACACAGTACTCTCTTCCCTTTCTCCAATCATCCTTCTTTCATCTGTCTGACTTGAGCACATGTATAATGCATGGTGAAGGGAAAGCTGCAGACCTGCTTGTGCCAGTAACACCAAATGTAAACAAGAAAGTGAAAGAGAGGAAAAGAACATTTCACCAAAGAATCCCACAACTCCAACACTGCCGCAGAAACAGTTGTGCTATCAGGAAACAATACATCTATTATTACAGCTTATACTGACATAACAATTAACATATTTTCCCTTTTAAGGATAAGGCCAGTCATTTTCTATACTAAAAATAATTTCAGCAGACAATAAAACCAACAATGAATTGCCTCTACTCGTGGTTAATGTCTGTCAGCTGTCAGACCTGGATTACCTTGTTATTCTGTGTGACAGATCTCCGTTGTTGTTCAAAAACAATTTAAAACACATCAGGGGAACACACCACTGCACTGGGTGACATGTTTCCTCATTATGAAGCCCCAGACCCCACTGTGTTGCTCTAAAGGCTTCAAGCAGCCATAATTTCCTGAAGTCAGCACGAGTCAGCTGCACATGAGTGAGACCTTGCATTAGCTCTCTGCTTTGTTTACATTCCACTAGCTCGTCATGCTCAGCTCAGGGGTTTGCTAATGAAGAAATGTCACCCAATGCAGCGTTGTATTTCAGTGATGTGTTTTTAGTCATTTTTGAACAACATGATGGTCTATGGCACAAACGAATAAGCGGATCCAGGACTGGCACACTGACGGGCACTAACCATGAGCAGAGGCAAATCGGTGTCGGTTGTAGTCTTTGTATGGGAGTGCTGAAAATATCGTTAATATAGAAAATGACCGGCCTTATCCTTTAATACTAAAATACATCAAATATTCATGAGCATTTCTACCACTTTATGTTGTATTAATTGAAATGCCTTTGGTTGACTGGAAACTCACAGTAGGGAGCTGTTATAGAATGAAAAAGATGAGGCCTTCAAAGCACACAGATCTGAATAAATTCTCCAAAGAATTACTGCTATTTGTGTGTGTGGAATGTGGGCCAATGAAATTAAATGTTTATAAGGTGCAAAATTAAATATTCAGAGCTGATGGCCAGTGGATCTCTTCTCAGTTGTATGATTATTGAGCTCACATCATACAGTAACTATCTGCTTGTTTCTCACCACAGAGTAAGCTAACATGACCCTATTCGTGCATGCGGTCTTTAATTAGCATCATTGCTGATCTATGTTTACTACTATCATTACAGCCAAACAGCGCTGCCAGGAAAATAATAAAAGATTCTGAGTTTCTGATTCAAGTACATTTTCCTTCTTCATAAATGTGGACAGAGTGACATAATCACAGTTAATGAAATAACAGTTTCATGTTATGGACCTACCTTATCATTAACTAGCAGCTCAATGGGGTTGTTCCCCCATTCGATGAGGACTATCTCATTGGCTTGGCCTGGCACACCATAGGAGAATGGGGTTCCTATGCCGGGACTGGCGCTGGACTTGAGCCACATGCACACGGTGAAGGCGTACATTTCTGGGAGGCTCTTCTTGATACGGCCATACAGATAGTTCGTGCGAAGAGGAAGGGACACCTTAAAATCCTCAGGTGATTTGAAGGCATTATTACCTGTTGATGGATAATGATAGCACATGATTAATTTTGAATGGTGAGCTTTTTTTGATGACTTGATCTTATCAAGAATGTCATCATCTTTTCAGAAGATTTATTTTTATTGTTGTGCACATCAGGGGCCATTGGGCTGGAATCTAATTCCTTTTAATTTTGATGATACTTGGCAATAAAGTTTATGCTTAGAAGGTTAAAATACTGTAGCCAAGACTTAGGTTCAAGAAGAGGAAGAGGAATATCACATCAGTGAGGAAACGGGCTGATTTTCATCCACGCTTGTACGACAGCTCTATGGAGGCCATTCTCAGTCTGTCCGCCACTTTAAATATTTCAGCGGCTACTTCATGGACATTTATTGTGGCCAGAAGATGAATCCTAATGACCTTGGTGAATTTTCTCTTGCAAGCTATTGGATGGCTCACCCTGAAATTTGCTACAGGCATTCGTGTTCTTCTAAGGTTTAATTGTAAACTTGCTTTTCACCATCAAGTCAAACTTTTCATTTGTTCAGTACTTTGGCTTATGATTATTTTGAGCTGTAGTTTGTGTTTAGTGTAAACTACAGGCGTTAGCATATTAAAACAGACTAAACTCTAAGAAGTGTTAAGTTCAAAGCACCACAGCCTTGTTTAGCTGTGGGCTGGTATAAGCCATTCTATCAACCAGTCTGTCAGCTGCAAGAAGAAAAACTATGTGCTATATGAAGTCCCAAAACATAAAAACATAACTTATATTTCATTTTGCTGCTCTGGTTCACCCAGGTGTTTACACTGAGGCAGTTGTGACCAAATGGATCACAACATATAAATAATGCAACTGTTGTCAATTAATTGAAAGTCTACAAGATTGTTAATATTTAAACAACACTGAATAAAAAACAAGAAATAGAAATGGTTATAGATCATGCACGGTCAAGCCAAAAAGACAGAGAGAAGATTGCTGAAAAATAACATGAAAATAAAAACAAAACAGGAAAAAAATGACTTGCAAAAACCACACACATAAACTATTTTTCCAGTGGGTTTGCACCAAGGAAACACGCTTCATATTTTATTGTTATTGTACCACAGCTTTATTTGAGTATATGGTGCTCACTGCCTAGTCTGGCTATGTTGTGTAGCTGTAACACTGAAAAAAAGATTTACAATACAGGCTCATGTTGGATGCAGTGTTCCTCCCTGCAGGACCAATAAAACCAGTATGATGCAACAGTCAACACAAAAGAAGAGAAAAAAATAAACATCATGTACAGTAATTAAAATGGGTATGAAGTATAATGGCCCTCTGCCACAACCTTTGCCTTCGCTGTCCTTCCACAAGCACAAACTTCTCAGAATCACGGGGTGCTAGACTCTATCCTGGCATACAAACAGGTCATTGTAGAGTTATTGCTGAAAAAAACTTTCACACTTCTACTATAGCTGACAAAACAACACCACAAACTAGAACCTAGATTCAAATTTAACTCATACTATTCTGGCACTGCCTTGTTATAAACTAAACTTATGGCTCACAAAAGTAGCAGGACTATTGTGTTGATCCATTAAATTGTACAGGTTGGTGTGTTATTGTACCCATCTCTTCTGAACTATGTACTCTGATTTAAATAAACTAAACTATGTATCCTAAACAGCAAAGAACATTAGCATACACGAAATGTCCAGTAAGGGCTGAAATAATCTCCTAAAATCATTTTCTTTTGGGCAGAGACATTTTGACTTATTTTGGCATCAACCATCAATGTGATACCCTTAAGTGTGGACACCTCTCCTATATTTCCTAAACTAATTAAGCATTCAGCATTGCTTTTCAAGTCTTAGTTCCAAGACCAGGAGCTGCTCCGAGAAAGGCTCTGTGAAAAGCTATCTTTGATTTTTACTTGCATCATCAGAAATTTGCACAGGGATTGACTAATTGCTGCTAAATCTGGCAGTCAAAAAATGTCTGGCATTAACTCTGGCCAGCATTTCACAGCACCCATTGTATTACTTACTCTTCTCAAGCTCGATGATCCTCTCCAAGAGGGAATTGAGAGCGCTCTCTGTGCGTTGGCGGTGAGCCGCTGTCTCATTGTAGAGCCGGCTCTTCTCCTCCTCCAGCTCAGCCACCTTCCGGAGGAGCCGGGTCTCCAGCGCCCCCAGACGCTGCCGCAGCAGCTCCCGCAGCTCTGGGGGCAAAGGAGTTAGGCCTGAGGCACCTCCAGCGGACATATTTGTGTTGGGAAGACGTACACTTTGCTGCTGAGAGGCGGAGAGGGAAAGATTGCAAGAGACAGCATATAGATAAACTGATAGATGGAATGTGGGGGCAGAGGCACAGGTAAACAATGACATAGACATTTAATCAAATTAATCTTGTGCACTAAGTCCCCATGAAGCTCTAGGTTTGCAGCAGACAACTGACCTACTTTTTAGGTTTGATATCATGTTAGCACCATTGTTTTTGATACGGCAATATCAAAACAAAGACAGTGTGCCCCCCGTGGCAGACTTTGACTGGTGACCTGCCGAACACCCATGGCTGGGCCAGGTATTAAAAGTAGATGCCCCTTGTGACATCACACCTGGTGTGATTGCAGACGGTGACAACAACTGTATGGGTCTGTGTTTATAAGTGCTACACAGAAATATTGCTAAATTCCTTCAGCTGTTCACCTCTAAAGCTGGGTTGATGTTTCCCTGCTGTCTGGTACACTCTGGGATTCAGATGATTTGTGACACATTCACAGAGTTTAATTAATATTTCCTGACATAATAGAACCATCTGAATGACTCCAGTGAGATATCCCTTTGTGATTTGGCACTGAGGGCCAAAGCAAGCAATTGCAAAGCCATGAATACGACAGTTGACATATGCAGATGGCTGTGATTCATGAGACAGGTCCTGACCCAGGAGTTGTACAGTAATTATCATTATGTTTAGCAGATGCAGATCTATAAATACGTGAGAAAATGCAGTAGAATATCTGTCCTGCACTGTTTATCTTGAATTTGGTCCAGGGCATAAAGCTTCCACAATCAAGAAATGGCGGTGGTGTAGAGGTAGAGAGATTGAGGAATGGATGGACAATGCAGCTGTATCTAGAAATAACCTTGAATTTATGTAACACTGTTTGCTGTATCAGGGCTGTCAGATGGTGAAAAATGTACCACACTACTGATACGACATGTAGGTGAGAGATAAAACCGGGGCTTATGTCAACCTCCTACTGTGTGTGAAGCACTCCACTATAGGTGACCTCAATATCAGCTGAATGTGATCTCAGAGTCTCAGGACATTAATGCAGGAAGCAAAAGAACAAAAGGCTGAGATGCACAGCAAAGAGGTCAACACTAATATAAGCATTTCTTTCAAAATAAAGTTTTCTAATGCTCTGGTGCATGTGTAATTTGCAGGAAAGAATTTCATCAACTGCTTTGAATGATTAGTCACATGACTGCAAATAAGAACAACACGTGGAACACACACACAGCGCTCATGAATAATTCAAGGACACGTTGCAAAATGCATGCACCAAATGCCTGATACCCCTTTGACAAGATTTTTTTGTCGTCCTGTTGATGACTTTTACGCAGTGGGATTCGCCATCAGTTCTCTTTTCAAAACGGCTTCATGCGAAAAGCCTTACGTGACCCTTTGATCTCAAGATTCCCATGAGATGTCTCCTGCAGTGCTGAGTGTTATAGACGTGCATGCAGTGCTCCACAGTGAGACATATTACTGGTGAAAGGGTTGAAGGACGCTCGTAAGATGCATAGAGCACCGATAACATAAATATAATGCAGCTGGTTACAGTGATGGGCAGTATTAACATGTTGGTTTGGGGAGAGATAAAAGAAAAGCGATTTACTGAGACGTTAGAGCTGAATGATTGTGCCATCTTACCTCCAAGTTTTCAAGCCGACCCTTGAGAGTCTGCATGGTCTTGCCCAGCTGGTCTATGGACTCGCTGGGGTCCCTGGGTAGGTCCCCCATGGTATTCTTGCCGTACTCCTTCCGTCTGGTACCCTGACCTCGGGACTTGCCCTGCGATGTCTCCTCGGTTACCGTCTCACAGCGCGCCAGCTTGGAGTTGAGCTCTTTGATTGTCCCCTGCTGGCTCACGATGGTCTCTTTCTGCTGCAGGATGGTCTCCCGGAGGTGGATGATCGTGTTCCGCAGCTCGTCCTCCACAGGGCTGCTGCTCTGGACACGGTTCCCGGTAGGACCATAGTCGCAGCCAGGCTCTGCGCCCGGGGGAATGGCATTACAGACGAAGCGGCTACCTGTAGCGTCCTGGCTTTGCACCGTGCGTCCACTGACCAGGTACAACAGTCCAACTACTAAAGTAAACATCCCTACTAGATACACAATCTCCACGTATTAAAGGAAAAACAAATGACTCCTAAATTACTGACTTAACATCTGAAGCCTCTCGCAAAATAATCAACTAGGCTAAAGTTCTTTCAGCAACAACTTATTAATTCATGTGACATTCTTCTGGACTTCCAAAGCGCAATTAAAAGATCAACTAAGTCTATAATGGAATTATGAAAAAAAAAAAAAATTAAGCAGAATCCGCAGCGAAAAGCTGTAAAATCACACATCCACCAACCATATGGTCAGTCCTGTTTGGGGAAAAACAAATAGACCAATACATCAAAACTCTTATTTTCCTTAAAATGAGGATTTGTTATCTTCTTCCATGGGAAAAAAAAAAGTTGTATTGTGTTGCTTGGAGATAAAAACAAAAACAAAAACATCCACAGTAGATTGCAGAGAAGTCAGTTTTGCCAGTCCTGCCTCTCCGCTTGCCTGGATTATCGGTGAGTGGTGCTGAAAAGACAGCGACGCTGCTCATACAGATTATTAAGGGGAGGTGCGCTCCGGCGCTTCCGCTCATCATCTGTGCGCTCGGGTTATTCATCTCCAGTTTACGTCAGCACCGAGTCCCAGTGGATCCAAGACATGCTATGGGTACTGTATGTCTCATGGACTTTTTATGACCTGTTTTACGCTGAGGCTGAAAGACGTCAAACAAAAACATATGAACAGGGAGTACTCCAAAATGGGTTTTCAGTGTTTTGACATGTATGGTTATGGCCCTAGTCTATCGCCTAGTTAGGTTCGTTTCTAAAGAGAATATGAATACAACCAAACCATTTAACATTTAATTTAACATTTAACTAAGTACCCCCGTTTCTTTTTCTTCCAAGAAGACACGCTTGGACTAAGGTCAGACTTTAAGGATTGACAAATCCAATGTAAACCCACAGTTCAAATGGCAAGTTTGATGGTTTGACTTGAATTACAACCAGTTTTCATGGCTTATACTCATTACACTGATCTATTCTTAACAAAGGGAGTTCAATTTTCTACACAACAACAACAACAGTATTTGTGCCTGGTCTTTGATTTGGTGTCACTTTGACCAAGGTGAGGATTAATGTGTTCAAATTAAAATAATAATTCACACTGGTGCCATAATAAATCCTTGTCTTGCTGTGAAAATATGATGAATAATGTTGAACTGCACCAAGGCTATACCAAATGAAGTCATGGGCTGATTGTAGGTTGCTATTAGCATTTCATTTTGATAAATAATATAAAGAATAAAAATGTGTCTCATGTACTGTTAGTCTTAATTGTAGTTACTGTACTTGGCACGGTTGAGGTCTCTCTGTGGCTCTGATCGCTCCCATTTAGGAACAGTGCCTTCTAATTTCCAATGATCTTCAACTCAGTCAATTACAAATTTAAATTTTTCAGGCTGCGAGAGCACATTATGGTGCCGTTGAGAGGATATAATGTTGCTGTAATTATTTTTATGTGAAAGTGTGGAAACATTTTCTTCATTGCTGCTTCTAAAGGCTGCATATTTTTTACTGGAAATCTTTTTTATTGTGACAGAATTTGTGAGTGGTTGTGGCAAATATAATATCTGTGATCTGGGCCAAACAGTACTAAGAATAATCCTTGGTGTTTGCTTTAATCTGGTTGGGAGGAGGGTGTTTTATAACCATTAGATAATAGTTTTACACCAAAAGCAAGTGAAAAATACCATGGCCAGTTTGTGGGTTGTGTCTCTCTCAGTTTCTCAGTGTAACAGTTACAGTCCAAGTGTGACAAATAAGTTCATCCAAAGAAAGAAGCACAATATGTAAAAAATATTAAATTAAAAAATATTAAAATCCAACTCCTGCTCACATTAATCTCGCCACAAATTCTTATTTCACATGGAAACATCAGACCTTTGAAGAAAACATTGATCTCAACAGGCTCAAGATGTGAGTTCATCTCAAAATAACCCAAGAGGAGAAAACAATATTTAGAAAAAGCTGAGCATTCTTTCTGCATCCAAGTGCACAGCAGTACTATGCTGGTGTATATGCTACACCATCATGATGTTATTGTTTCTATATATGTAGAAACCTGCATGCAAACACCTGTCAGTGGCAGATGAAGCAGTTAGGCTCTTTTGCGATGACAAGCAGTGAAGAGTATCACAGCAGGTTTCGTGTGGAGCTCCCTTCATTTTTTCTCAAACTAAGATGAGGAGGCAGGCGTCTGTCAGATACCTGCTAAGAACTGTAGAATATGAAAAACTTCAAAGTTGGCTCAGTTTCAATTATGAACTGAGCTCAGCACAATTCTTATCAAGCACTGAGACACCTTTTTCCAAGACTGCCTCATCAATCTTTATTTCCTCAAGATGTTTCCCTTAAAATCTGAAGCAGTGGGCCAGTGATAGCTCATGTGGGAGGCACCTCTAATGTGATGTGCAGCATTACCGTGGTACCCATCACAGCCGTCATCTCCTATCTGGGCCTGAGAACTAAATGTCAGCCAGCATTAATGCACACTCAGCGTACAATGGGCACACGGTGCCAGGATTGACAGGGAACGGCTGGTGAAG